AAAGAAAGAAGAGAAGAAGAAAGAAGAAAGAGAAAGAGAGAGAGAGAGAGAGAGAGAGAGAGAGAGGAAGGGAGTATAAGAGGAGAAGGAAGAGCATGAAAGAGGAAATGGAGAGAAAGAAGCGGCGACAGGAAGGAAGAGGGGTGTGTATTCTCTAAGAGTTGTGAGATTAGTTAATAAAAATTAATTCTAAGCTTCTAGATTCTAGGCTGAATGCCATCCGAAGTATTGCTGAATCAAAGTCAATTAACATCCTTTATAGCTACTCTTCAAGCAAGTTTTCATTTTGTTTTCATTTAATATCCACATAAATCATTATTGTGCTTCAAAGTCGTTATCAATCATGTGAGGGATTGAAAGAAGAATGAAAGAGAAACGAAAAAGTCATAAAAAAGATATTTCCATTCGTCTTCTTCGAAGCGAAAGTGTATTGTCCTCTTGTTGTTGGCTGCATACTAGCTGCTCTATGCAATGCCAGCATCATGCAGCATCCAGTATACTGAGTGTTGTATGTATATGTGTGTGTGTGTGTATGAAAGAGAGTATAGAATAGATTGAAAGTTAATTATTCAATTTTTTGTCTTTTTGCAGGGACTCTACTTCTTCTCTACATTAGCCGTTCTCTCTATCTTTGCTATTCTGACGTGTATATGTGTTATATGTTGCTCTCATTTTATGGATTGTTTCAATCGATACAAGGATCAGACAGAGGAAGAGCAGAGAGTTGTTCGAATGATGTGAATAGCATGTGATATGATGAAGAATGCTTTGGTCATGTCTTGTGAATGATGAAAACTCATCAGAAGGACAGAGACATGCATGATGTGGTCGAATGCAACAAGTAAGACAAATCACTGTCCATTTAACTGTTTTCATTTTTCTATTCTATTTTGTTTCTTCGTTCGTATATCATGTTTCAATAATAAATAATTCTGAATAAGGAAGGAGGGCTCTTTCAATGTCATGAAGTTGATGTTGGATGTTAGAAGGTGTTGACTTTTATTTTTCAAACAAACATTTTCTGTTAACAAACTACTTCATCAGCTGTCACAAACGAGATGATTCTTGTTCTTCTCAACCTATCACAGTAATAACATCTTCAAGAGTTTTTTAAACAATAGATGTTTGATGTTCGAAGCTTATATGTGTAGAGTATGATGCTGGTTATCCTTGTTCTGCACTTAGTGACTATGCTAGCAAACTAATGATCACATGAAGGATGAAAATATATTCATCTTATCCTCCATGCAATCATTTGAACCATTTCCATGGATATGTGACTCCTACTGAATTTCCGAACAACTTGACTGTTACTTTGTCTGAATCTGCTTGGAAGCCAGTTCCAAGTACTTCTGCTTTAACGCCATCTGAGAAGTCTACTCCGGTAGACATTGAAGCTCCTAATGTTGCACTCACGGGTCCAACATCTGCTTTTACAAACTTGGTCTCCGCCTGATATCCAGCTCCGTAACTTCCTGCGTATCCTCCGTAGTGATTTTCCATGCCAACAGTAGTTCTCACAGTGTTAGCAATTCCATAGCTATAGAGTTCAGCGTTTGAGTGTACTCCAGCTCGCCCATTACTATTATGGTAGCCCCCGTCATAGCTCAGTAATTTAAAGTCAATAGGACCTAGGTTTGTTCCACCAGCTTGGGCTGTTACGTACGCACCATCTTCGGTTTCATAGACTGTGGCGTTGGGCGATTGCTTGCTCACTTTCACTCCATTCCGGCACCAGTGAGCAAAGTGTTCGCAATTGTGTTTGAAAAGATCGTACTCCCAGTTATCCCCAGCCCTACTTTCAGCTCTTCTGATGATCTCATCCACAGCAAAAGGTTTCTTGATCTTATCAAATCTGTTATTTACCGATGCCAGACATCCCATTTGCTGCACTCCTGACTTTCCTTGGTTATTGAACAAGTCCCACAGGGTTACTCCAACGAAGTGCTCATTTAGATAACTATCAAGCTTTTGCTTTCCGATGGTGACAGTTCCGCTTTTACGTCCTCCGTCAGGTGCTTGCACGTGAATTAGATAGTCGTCGTTCACAAACACTGCCCAATGCTGAAATAATACTTTAACGAATGAAATCGAATTCATACTATACCGAGTAAACATGCTTATGGAATTGTATAAGATCACCCGGTTGTGGATGCCACGGCATCTCAATCTTCTACCTGATAAGAAAGAAATCGAAGAACCGAAACAGTCAAAATTCAGTGTTAACAAACGGAAACACACAAAGAAGCGGAAGACTGAAATGAAATGAATATGCGCTGATGGATATCACCTGAGGATCTATCCACCTATAAAGACAAGCGCTCTCCAATGATGATAAAGTTGTGTTCAATTCAAGAAAAGGCGGTTTAGTTTGCTCAAGCTCTCGAGAAGGCCTGTAATTTTTTTTTCTGATACTTAATTGAATTAAAGGAGATTATCGGATTAAATGATCTTCATTCTTTTTTTTTGTCTCCTTCGCTCATGATAGCAAATAGATCAAGATGATCTCCATCTTCATCATAAACACAACACCGCAGTTCTGTATTTTACTTTGGTACACATGGTTAAGAGTTACTCGACTCGAAAGTCTTACGCACAGCGAATCACCGTTAACTCTTGGAGTTTTGGACAAAACTATTACATGTTTACTCTTTCTCTCAAGTCAAGTTGTTTATCACTCAAGAAGAATGGTCTCCCGCCATTAATTTGAATCTCACGTATGCAAATGAGATGTAAGGCAACCTTCAAATTCATTTTTTGTTCGATTCAGACGGAAAACGGTTGCATTTCAAAAAATCTTTCAAAACCAAAAACTTGCTCGATTGCTCATAATCAAAATCTTGCTCGATAGGTTTCGAGATCATTTTCGAATGCCCGGTCTTCAGAGTTGAGTCCGATGAAATGTTTGGAGGCGAGCCAACAATTTTAGCTGGTCAAAGATTTCATGATCTGGATCTCCTTAACCATACATCAGAATCCATTTATGACTGGGAATTCGTTAGTTCAAGATCCAAATTAGTAAGATCTGACAATTTAAAAGAATTTCGAGAAAATTCATTTTTATCGATTGGTTTTGCTGATTTGCCGAGTTCAACTCGCGAGGTCCGTGGAGTTGAGTCGGACCTTCAGTTGGGAACGAGCCAGCGATGACGTCACAGAAAGTTTGAGCTTCTGTATCTCGTTAACCAGGCGTCCTTTCGGGATTCTAATTTGGTATTATTGTTTAGGAGGTCTCGTTTGGTATAAATCCCAAGTTTGGTGAGAATCTGAGAAAATTCATTTTTTTCGATCAGTTTTGCTGATTTGCCGAGTTCGACTCGCGAGGTCCGTGGAGTTGAGTCGGACCTTCAGTTGGGCACGAGCCAGCGATGACGTCACAGAAAGTTTGAGCTTCTGTATCTCGTAAACCAGGCGTCCTATCGGGATTCTAATTTGGTATTATTGTTTAGAAGGTCTCGTTTGGTATAAATCCCAAGTTTGGTGAGAATCTGAGAAAATTCATTTTTTTCGATCAGTTTTGCTGATTTGCCGAGTTCGACTCGCGAGGTCCGTGGAGTTGAGTCGGACCTTCAGTTGGGCACGAGCCAGCGATGACGTCACAGAAAGTTTGAGCTTCTGTATCTCGTAAACCAGGCGTCCTATCGGGATTCTAATTTGGTATTATTGTTTAGAAGGTCTCGTTTGGTATAAATCCCAAGTTTGGTGAGAATCTGAGAAAATTCATTTTTTTCGATCAGTTTTGCTGATTTGCCGAGTTCGACTCGCGAGGTCCGTGGAGTTGAGTCGGACCTTCAGTTGGGCACGAGCCAGCGATGACGTCACAGAAAGTTTGAGCTTCTGTATCTCGTAAACCAGGCGTCCTATCGGGATTCTAATTTGGTATTATTGTTTAGAAGGTCTCGTTTGGTATAAATCCCAAGTTTGGTGAGTATCTGAAAAATTTCATTTTTTTCGATCAGTTTTGCTGATTTGCCGAGTTCGACTCGCGAGGTCCGTGGA